AAACTTCATTTCACATTGGGAATCACTGGGCACATATTTCAGAGGCATCCCCAAATTAATGCAACCCTCAATCCCTTTCTTTCCTATTAAGTAGATCTTCTTGCCTTTCTTTTTGTCCATGTGAGCAGAAACATCTTTAGAAGCCCTGAGGGCAGTAAGCACACTATCATGGATCTTGCCTTTCACCACATGTTCCTTTCCACCATCACCTAAATTCACAGTGAATTCTCGTTCTTCAACCGTTGTCTTGTCACTGTTTAGTGGAGTCTCTTTTTGAAGATGATTTCCAATTTTTGTCATAGGACTTCTGCTTCTCAGGCTTCTGGTGCTTGAGCCAGCCTCTGAGTTCTCATTTTGAGGCTAATGAAAAAGGCAAGAAACTAAGTAAACATTTTTGCTTATGTGGTTTGCTTTTTTTTTAAAAAAAAAAAACAAAACTTGATAAACATTCTATGTAGGCACCTCAGTGTATGCCTATCCTCCATCCAGCACATGTGTACTGTCAAGCAAGCAAGTGCTGGAGTACAGTTTCAGTCATGTTAATTGGCCTAAAGAACAACCAACCCTCTTCACAGAAAGTTTGCCCCTCCATATGACTTGCTGCTATAGTTTTTAGATAATTATGGGTGTCACTGGAGTAACAGTAGTGCCACCAAAATAGGCAGGAACTGAGAACAGCTATTTACTATAAAGATTGTCTTCCAAGCTTATTCAGAACTCAAAACTGATAGCTTCTTTGTCTGAAATGAGTATAGAAGATGTGCTGCTTACAATTTTTTTGAGTTTTATTTAAAACAACAACAACAACAACAGTTACTTTTGCATAGGGGTATTGTTTCCAAATGAGAAAAGTAACAAAAGAATTAAAACAGCAAGTCTGCATGAAAGATACCATCAGTGCAACCCCATCATCATGTTATGCCTTCTGAATGGAAATACGACTGCGATCCAATCCCCTGTTCAGGTACAGATTATAATTATAGGTTTAAGTAATTCAGTTAAAAAAAACAAAACACAAAACACTGCCATATCTTATGATTTCATCATCATCTATACCCCACCTTTCCCCTAAAACTGGGACTCCAGGCAGCTTACAAATTTTAAAAGGTACAATATAAAACATACAGAAGTTCAATGTTAAGATGTAATTAAACTATTAACCAAACAATTTAAAACACACAAATAAAAATATTAAAAAGTAGTTTGAAAAAGTGCAATTAAAACAGAAACCTTAGGTTCTCAAAAAGCATGTTAGAATAAAAAAGGAGTAAAAGGAATAAAGGAAATAAGCAAAAAAACAAGGAATAAAAGAAGGAGGGGACCAGTCTAACCTCCTTAGGAAGGTAGTTCTAGAGCATAGGGGCAGCCACCAAGAAGGCCCTATCACACATCCTTACTAATAGTACCTGTAAAGGAGATGGGACAGAAAGAAAGGCCACTCCTGAGAATCTCAGGTCCTAATCAGGCTGATATGGCACTTTTTGTGCCCAGAAAAAAAGAAAGCAGCAGCCAGCGGAGCTTTAGTAGCAAGAGATTTGTATGCTTCCTTAACTAGCTCCAGTTAACAATCCAGCTGCAGTGTTTGTATAAGCTGAAGTTTCCAAATGCTTTTCAAAGGCAGCCCCCCCCCCCATGTCCAGCATATTATAATAATCCAAATAGGATATAACTAAGACATATGTCACTGTGGTCTAGATTAGGCATTTCACAGAATGGGCACTGTTGGCACACTAGCTTTAATGTTGCAAAAACACTCCTGGCTACTACAGAAGCCTAGGCTTCCAGGTTTAGATCTCAGCACAGAAATACACCAAAACTGCAAACCTGTCTACTCTTTACGCTATCCAGCCCAGGCTGAATCCCTATCCACTGATCTGTTTTTGACTATCCAGGAGCACTTCTGTCTTGTTTGGCCTAAGCTTCAATTTGTTCACTCTCATTCGGTCCATTAATCACACCAACACCGCTTTAGTACAGAAACAGCATCCTTGGAATGAGATGAAAAGGAGAGAGTTGGGTGCAATCAGCATACTGATGACACTGAATCCCCAAATTCCAGTAAACCTCTCCCATTTATCTGCTGAATAGCAGAGGACAAAGCACAGCCCTGAGGGACTCCAAAAGCTAGTGATCAAGGACTTGGAACAGTAATTTCCCCCAGCACCACCTTGTAGGACTGCCCTTCCAAGAAAAAATTGAGACACTGCAAAACAGGGCGTCCAAGTCTTATCCCATCAAGACAGCCCAGGAGGATACCACCAAGCCACCAAGAGGGCCAACAGAACTAACAGGAAAACCTTCTTCCTGTCCAATTCCCAGCAGAAATCATCCATCCAAGTGACCAGAGCTTTCTGTCCCATTCTCAGGCCTGAAACCCAGCTGAAATGAATCAAGGTAATCCTTTTCATTCTGGAACTCCTGAAGCTGGGAGGCTACCACACACCTTGGCTGAAAATGGAATACTGGTCACTAACTAATAGTATCTAGCTAACTAATAACTAATCCTGGGACCCCCCACCCCACTCCCGTTTTTCTTAGACAAGCCTCTTTCAAGCAGGTTGGGACCCTGCCATACTATAAAGAGGCACTAACTACAAGAGGATATATATCTCATATAACAACTGTCATGACACATGGACAATAAGTGTGTAATTCATATGTATAGAGATTTTGTAGCACCTTTGAGACTAACTGAAAATAAGAAGAAAAGGAGATTTGTAGAGCGCTTGTTGCTTGTTATCAGCTTCGGCTGATACGCCAGCTGCGCCCTTTTCTGGA